TTTAAGGGAAAAAAATTTGGTTTAGGCAGAAATCGACCGACCGACCGAGGTTGGTTGGTCACAGAGGGGTAGAAAGGGCGGTCGGTTGGGTGTCGATTTAATCCTAGAAACCGACCCGACCGACAAATATACACCTCTAATTTGGGCATTAGAAGCGGTATTTTTGATAGGGAGATGGCCAGCTGGACAGATTTGACTGATATTTTGGAAAGAACCTGGGATGATTTGATTGTTTGGTCTCTTGGAAAGGGAGGCTCAGTCTCTGTGAATTGAGCTTTCCTTTCCCTCACTAAACCTGATGCTTCGGCACCAAGATAGTGTGGTGAAGCATCATTTGGAAGGCTCTTTTTTTTGAACAAGATACGAACTTTTCATTGATAAATGAAAATGAACAAAATTGTTCAAAGATACAAACTCCCATAGGAGTGAAGGTACAGGAAATAAATAAAAGTAAGCATTAGAAGAAATAAAAACCATAAAATTAAAGAAACCTCCTTAAAGGGGAATTATAAAAGCCTCCCAATTCATACAAAGCATACTAGGAGAATAAGAAGAGAAGAGATTGAAACGAACACACCATTGAGAGGCTTTGAATTTGGCGATTGAGAAACACTCCATAGGAGATCGATTCTTGCCTTCAAATATTCGTTGATTTCTCTCAAACCATAATTTGGAAAGAAGAGCTTTTATTCCAAAAGCCCAAAGCAGATTAGATCTAGAGCTTGCTTGCAGCCCACTTAAAAGCTGAAAGATGATTTGAGGCACCTCCAGATCCCACACCCATGAAACTCCAAACATAGATAGGAATTTTTTCCAACAGACCACTGCATAGCTACATGAGAAGAAGACATGCCTTGGGCTTCCCCACTTGCTTTGCACAGTAAACAACATGATGGCTGCATCAAAGAATTGGGCATTTTCTTTTGTAATGTCTCTGAAGTGTTAACTTTGCCCATTAGAAGAATCCAAACCATGAAATTAACTCTTTTGGACAAAAAGAGTTCCATAGAATAGGTAGTACTTCCTTAGGAAAATTAGGAACCGAATGCTGGAATTTTCTTTGAGGCTCTTGTTCACATGCCCATTCGTAAAAATTTTGAGAAAAGTCTAGCAAAGTCATTCTTCCAAAACTTCCAAAACTTCATAAAGAATTCTGGAATAAAACCGTCTGGCCCTGGAGCTTTGTTCTTACCAAGTCCCTTAACTGTCTCCCATACTCCTGCTTCCTCTAATTCTCTCTCTAGCCAAATTCTGTTTTGCCAAGAAATTGGCCTCCACTGAAGCTCAATTGGAAGCAGTCTCATCTTCCTTACTTTCTGATATAGAGAAGAGAAAAAAGAGAATATTTCAATCTCAATATCGTATAGATTAACAAGAGATTCTCCTTGAGAATTCTGCAGTTCAGATATGGATGCTTTCCTCCTCTTTGCTGCCAAAAACCGATGGAAAAATTTACTGTTTTCATCACCCTCTTTAGGAAGGCTCTTGTTCCCAAGAGAGTGAAATTATTCATTTGTAATTTGGTCTTCTCTGTACAGAGGCATCAACACTTCAAAGAAGATTTTCCCATTGGGTTTTTGCTCCTTCAATCTATTTTATTTGTAAAAGGGGGGAGGATTCAATAGATCACTTGCTTCTTCACTGTACATGTCCTTTTAAAGCTTGGTCTTTTATTTTTAAGGAGTTGGGCATTAATATCTTCTTCCCTAAGAAGGCGGACGCGTAGATGTTGGAATCTTGGTGGGCTTTAGGTTCAAAGGAAAAGCCAAGGTCTTGTGGTGCTGTGCAGTGAAGGCTGTGTTATGCTCTACGTGGAAGGAAAGAAATCAAAGAGCTTCTGAGGACAGTTATAGTTCAGAGGATTCTTTTGTGGATAGTATAGTATTCGGTACTTGGCTTCTTGGTGGAGTACTAGATACAAAGTATTTTTTAATTACGCCCTTTCCATGATTGTTAGAAATTGGACGGCCTTTTCGTAACAGTTCTTGGAGCGGGATTTTCTCCACCCCTTGCCCTTAGGTCATCGTCTTTTTGTGTAGTTTATACATCTTTCCCAGTTTCTTATCTCTCATACACACACACATTTTCATATGAGATATTGGTTATTATGGTCATGATGTTTATGATGTTTAGTCTGATGATTGCTTTTGGGTTATTTTATTTTATTTTTATGACAGTTATTTCACTCCTGACACATACGCAAATAAGCATTCAGCACAGGCTGCTAGGCTTGCAGCCGGTTTATGTGCTGATCTTGCTTCAGAAATTGTTTCTGGTCGTGCCAAAAATGGTTTTGCTCTGGTATGACAAATCACATTTTTCAATCCCAAAATTTATTTTGTTTTGATGTAGATGCTCCTCTAGAATGCTGTCTGACGCTTTTTTTTAATTCTCAGGTTCGTCCTCCTGGTCACCATGCAGGTGTTAAACAAGCCATGGGGTTTTGCCTTCACAACAATGCGGCAGTTTCTGCATTGGCTGCTCAGGCTGCTGGTGCCAAGAAAGTGCTAATAGTTGATTGGGTAAGGTTGATATTTTTTTGCTATGTAGTAGGGGCCCATAACCATCTTCTATTCTCTCTCTAACGATTGTTATTTTCTTTTCATCCTTTCTACTTTAGGATGTTCACCATGGAAATGGAACGCAGGAAATATTTGAGCAAAATAAATCGGTATGCTCTATATGAAATGAACTTCTGGTTTCTCTTCCTTTTCTGATCTCTGATTTTTTGGAAGATGGAAAATTTTGCTGGACAAGATGGTTTCATTGTTGTAGGTTATAACTACAAGCCTTGATTGGCATTCATGAATATAATCAATGTCTTCAGAGCATCCTTTTGAATTGGAGTCCCTTCCTTTAGGTGGGCCTCCAGTTGTGGGCTGATTTTTTTTGTATGCCCTTATATATGTGTTATTTTTTGTTTTCACTTTTATCAATGAAAAGTCGCTTTCTTATTAAAAGAATCAACGTAGGTTTTTTAACAACTTTCTTCTCCTGTTTCACCTTTTTTTTTTACAAGAGCTCATCTTTGTGATTTTCATGTTTGAGTCACATTTGCAGAATTTATACAGTTCCGATGACAAACTTGACCAATTTGTAGGTCTTGTATATATCTTTACATAGACATGAGTTAGGGAGGTTCTATCCTGGAACTGGAGCTGCTGATGAGGTAACTTATTATAGTTTACTCAATATTGCATATATAATCATAAATTTTATTTATTTCTATGTGCTTTGCTTACAAATACAATTTCTTTTTGTGCACTTTGGCCTCCAATCAACCAAAAAGCTTGTAGCCTTGGAGTGTGTCTTTTACCATGAGAGCATTATTACTTATAAAGACTATTTACTTCTTCAGGTGGGCACAATGGGAGCAGAAGGATATTGTGTGAATGTCCCTTGGAGTCAGTCGGGAGTTGGTGATAATGATTACATTTTTGCATTTAAGCAAGTTGTGCTTCCAATAGGTTACTTCCATTACTCGTTTCTTATCCCAAAAAAAAAAAAGAAGTTATTCCCATTGCTGATATTTGTTTTATCTATTGTCAAAATGTTTTCTGCTAAGAAGCACTGACACTTCATTTTAGGTAACGTATCCGCATTGGACACTCCAACATTTATCGGACACTTGTTAGCTCAATAGATTTGTGTCATGCACTAGTTATACAAAGTGAATATGGATTCGACACTTGTTAGCTACATATTGAACACTTGTTAAGCATAAGAAATAGCCATAAATGGTAATATAGGACAAAATAATAAATTTTGAAAGTAAAATACAATTTAGCTTTTTGACTTTGAATTTCCTTCTTCTATAAAATTGATCTATACTTAAAAAAGAATGTATATTTTAATAAATGTGTTCTTGCAGTGTCCGTGGTCCTAGATTTTTAGAAAATGATGTGTCACCATGTCCGTGTCGTGTCCTTATTCATGCTTCTTAGATTTTCTAGAGAGAAATAGTGTAGAACATTTTCTATTGCACCTATTAATCATCCTCCTTTTAGAAAAGAACACTTCTATTGCAGGGAATGAAAATGATAAAATGATGTTGGAATTATGCCATGATATATGGTTTTCAGTGATATGGATGGCTTAAATGTACAAATTACTACGACCTCGTGGTGCCTTACTCATAGGAGATTCTTTTGTAATTACAGTCTAGCTTTACTTTCCCGTGATTGGCAAGCTATAATGTGGTAGCTTTCTTGGGGAGGGCCTCCTCGGCCCTTGCCCGTAGGTTGTTTCTCTCCTTTTGTTATATTATATTCCGTTTCTTATAAAAAAAAAGGTATTGTTTTCTCTCACCATCTTTCTAACTTTGATCTTTTAACTTCAATCTTTCACCTTTTCAATTTTTTATTTTAAGAAGAGCCACACGTATCTTGTGCTGTTTTATCACTCTGAGTTCCTTTCCTCCCCTCTAAATATATGAATAAAACCTGATTTTTTAGGCCAGATTTAAAAAGAAAAATAGTCACGAGTGTTGTGTTTTGAGGCCAGCATCATTTGTCCTCTTCCCTTATGTTTTCCTTTGATGACAGTTTGATTCAGAAGAAAAGACTTATGGATTTTTTTGCTTATCAAAATTATGTATTGCATTTTGCATCATTCACTTTGATGTCTTAGGTTCTGTTTGGTGCATTTTCTCAGATGACATAGGAATGTATCTAAAATCTCAACAAATGGTTTTTGAAAGTTCACCTCTTAAGCAACATTTGAGGACTGGTTGAGGTTTGAGAAAATATATATTTGAGGTTATTTACTGTGCCTTCTAAATATTTTATTTCAGCAAATTGTTATCTTGAATGTCATGCATCCGGTTCTTGTTGGAAGTGTTTCTTATGAACCGAGGAGAGGAATAATGGTTGCAGAATTTATTTTGTATTGTTTTCATTAAAAACAAAAATGTTTTCAGAACGGCCTGTGAAAACATATAATCTCTTTTCGAAAATTTTCAATCTTCCACATGTTGCTCACATTATGTTATGCACTTGTTGCCCGCCCCTCTGAATGTTGATGGCCTCTTTTTGCAACTTGCCATTTGACATTTGTCTGGCTTTCAAGAATGGGGCTAAAATCTGGAGCTAAATCATTATTTATTGGAGAGCCTTTGATGTTATCTTGTTTGGTCTGGAGGATATATATAATTCTCTTATTTGTTAACTTTTTCACATCGTTACAATTTCCATCATATTTCTTATTATAAAAGTAATGAAAAGGTGAGTTGGAGAAATTGAATTCTACCTCATCATAATTCTTGTCGTAACTCTATTTGTGGGAACGTAGAGCACTATTTTTAAAATATCTAGAGCACTAATTCTGTAGCTTTATTTTTTAAAAGTTGAAGATGCAGTATAGTACTAATTTTAACTCCGACATTTCTGATACCTTTAATCTGCTATCATTGCAGCTTCTGCTTTTACCCCTGATCTCACTATCATATCAGCAGGATTTGATGCTGCAAGGGGGGATCCATTGGGAATGTGTGACGTAAGGATTTTCTTATTGAATGATTGTTATATTATTAGGAATGTCCTCAATTTAGATTCACTGTTTAAATTTCCTGAGGTCAGCACTGTCTTGAATTCTGGTTTTCTTCTCGTATTCCAGGTAACTCCTGCTGGGTATGCACACATGACTCACTTGTTGAATATTGTCTCTGGTGGGAAGTTGCTTGTTATTCTTGAAGGCGGGTCTGTGCTCATTTCTTGATCTTTGTGGCTTCTGCTCAGAGTAGGTTAAATGGATTTTATGCTGTCACGTGCTAAGTTGATTGAGATGTCTATTTGCAGCTACAATCTTCGTTCCATATCATCTTCAGCTACAGCAGTAATCAAGGTGCTTTGTTCTGAACAATGGAAAGACAGGAACTTAAATTGTGCATTATATCCTTTTTTGTCTTTTCAGTTGCTAACCTTGTCTCGTTTCTAATTCATATATATAATAATATATTATGCTAGCTATCTCAATTTTATACTATCATGGTTTCTAGGGTGTAACTTATTCTACCTCATTGATTCTTTTCGTTTCTGTTCTGACATTAAAAATAGGTATTGCTGGGTGAAAGTCCTGGATGTGATTTGGACGATCGTTTACCCTCCAGAGCTGGGATGAAAACTGTACTAGACGTGCTTAAGATTCAAAAGAATTTCTGGCCCGTGCTGGAATCTAGCTTTTCAAAATTACAGTCACAGTGGGAGACATATGATACTGAAAGAAGTGAGTAGTCTCTCTCCCCCTCGTGTTAGTCGTGTATATGTGGGGCGAGAGTGTTAGTGTAATGGGTTAAGCTGGCTGGGGGTAGATAACTTGAGTGACTGGAGGTTAAACTGAAATAAAGAACCAATTGAACCAATTTTGTCTTTTTCATTCTTGTTTTTTGTTTTTTGCTGTGTTTCTTTTGAAAATCAATTGATAAGCAAATTTAGCTATGATGGCTAATTCTCTATTCGAAGCAGAGAACAGGGATAGCATTAGAAAAGATTCAAACTTTATGCAAATGGTTCACCTCTATGATTTATTGGAGTCGGTTTCTGCTAAATATTTGTATGGTAGAAGCAAATATAGCTGTGCTCACCTCACCCGCTTCTTGAAAAAGCAATTACAAATTTAAGAGAAAGCAGAAAGTCTATAGTTCTTTTTATTTTTTATTTTAATAATTATTATTAGATAAGAAACCCACCGAAAGTTTGCAAAAGTCGCAACAAAACAACATAAAAGACAAAGGGACGAAACACCCATTTTTCAAAAAGGATGGACTGATAGTAAAGGTAGAGTAGTTACAAAAATGGTTGTGTTGCACACTCCAATTCGAGGCAGTGAATGGCTTTGTTATAATGATATGCAAGTCTATGGTGCTGGTATTGCCCGATAGTCAAAGGAGAAGTTGTGAATTTGGATGTTATTGAAGTTACGAGTTTCTGGTTTTATTGGTGGTCGGTATTTAGGATCGATAGTAGTATCCCTTGAATTTGCAGAATTCAAACATTCTGTGTCAGACAGTAGACTTGCGGGATCCTTTTGAGTTCTAG